ATATATATATATAATAATAATATTCACGTTTATTTTAAATACAATTCATGAATACGAGACGAAATGTGTAAATATAAGATATTAATGTTCAGTGACTTAAACAACTCGTACATTTATATTATATAATAAAACTTGAAGAATTCAAAAATATTTTACTGTATGTATATTGTAAAGGAATAAAAAATAGGTTTTCATTTCATATAAATCTGCATCGCAGAATCTATACATTATGAATTTCATATTCCGTGTATAAACGATAAAGAATATTAATTTTAAAAAATTATATAAAAAAAGATGATTCTTCTCTCTCTTAGAAATATTTTTCGAGAGAACCCTTCAGCTTACTCGGATTCACATTAGGACCGTGTCGTTCGACAACCTTGCCCTCTTTGTCGACGATAAACTTGGTGTAGTTCCATTTTATGAAACTGCCGAGCCAGCCGCCCTGCTCTTTTTTCAGATACGCCCAGAGAGGATGCGATTTATCTCCGTTCACATCGATTTTTTCGAACAAATCGAATTTTACCTGTGAAAGATGTATCAAATACAACAGTTACTCAGTATAAATTAAATAGATATATTTATGAAAAGAATAGATGTATTTGAAGAATTACTTTCTGACGATCAGCGAAACTGCAAATATCCTCGTTGTTTCCTGGCTCTTGCCCGTTAAATTGATTACAGGGGAACGCTAGAATTCGTAGACCTGTCGAATAACAGGAAAGATATTTGAAAAATTTGTTATATACGCGGAATAATTTTTGACTTTCGTATATATCGTGGAGTTTACCTTTCGATTCGGCATACTCATCGTACAGTTCGTTAAGCTCCTTGTAATTCGAAGCTGTGAGGCCGCATTTCGAAGCGACATTTACGATCAAGCATACGTGACCTCGGTATCTGACGATGGACAAATGTTTTATTACGTTCTTTTGACATACACAATATCGGCGATACGGACGAGTTTATGTTTACTTGGACAAAGGGACCTCCTCCCCCTTGATAGAATTGACCGTGAAATCGTAGATCGATGTGGCCGAAGTGTAATCCTTGTTTCCGTTCATCGTTGCTGCAACTGCAATTGCGAGAGTTAAATCTTTGAAATGATAAAGCGTAAACGATGCACTTAACTTACATTTTTTTTAAATTTTATTCGCAATCCGATATTGCTAATTCGTTTTCTGTGTATCTACGTTAGTCGCAATCTCGGATTTTTCAAACTAAATTAAAAATAGTGGATATTTCAAGTTTATGCTTTGGAACTGACATAATGATATTAAAACGTCACAAATCTTGCGGATTAAAATATTCAACTTTGATTAGATCCTAATCATTATGTTAAAAGACTATCGCGTGTTTGATAAAAGAGTAATATTTAACATGCATCATACTATGCTGTCAATATGCGTAACAATCGCTTTCGAAACATATTGCAATTATTTTCAATGCAGGACGAATAATATAAACGAATAAAATTACGCGCATGATAAAACGATGTCCAATGATTATAATGTCTTCTTAATTATATGAATAATTAGAGAATGGATAATAATATCGAAGACGTATAATATCGATATTTTAAATTATCACGATTTAATTATTATTATAAAGGATAATCAGATCAAACGAGACTCTTAGAAAATTCAATCAAATCCATTTCTAAATAATTCACAGAGAGTTGTTACACGTGTTGTTCTTTTTATGGAAACTATTACGGATCGTTTCGGCTGCGATTGGCATTATTTATAACCGGCAGATTAATGTTTATCGTTAGGTGAGAGGAAAAGACAGGGGTGAGAAGGAGAGACGGGCCGGATAATTATCAAATTACGTGCCTGCGAAATTTCGGACTAAGTGTGTAAGTCCGACGGGTAGTATGAATTTTATAATGGTCATTTCCGGTACGTCGATATCGGTCCCGCTCCTGAAACTGCCGATATACAGAGGATATAATATTGTAGAGTGTAAAGCAAGTTCTACAACTTCGAAAGTGAAATATTCAAGAGCTCTATCTCGCGATTACATTTTTTTTTCTAACGATTTTATGGACGTTCGTGGCGTTTACGAGGACATTTGAACTAAATGTTTATTTATACTCTCTCAATCCTTACACGGTTAGCATTCATTTATTATTTATTGAAAAACGATAGTCAAAAAGATTTTAGCATTAAATAGCATAGACTATGATTGACTTGTGTTGTGTCATTAATGGAAATAATTACGTAAATTTTTTAGGATAATAAATGTTTTATCGTCATTTAATTATATCACCATAAAAAATATAAAGGAGATATGCATGGTAAAAAAAAGAATTGCAAACATTACAAGAAATTTCAGTCTCCTACGCTTTTTAAATATTTCCATAAGATTTATCAATAGAAGATATACAAAAGTTTGTTGACCATATTTTTATTTGATAATCAAATCAAATGATTCATAATTCAATAACGCAATAATCCTAGGTGGGGAATTCACATCTAGCAATCGAACGATTCTTTCGATTCTAGACACAAACACGAATAATAAAACATTTCAAATTGTCATGCAAATTGTCAATAAAACACGATGACTATACAATTTCGCTGTTTAAAATAAGACATCAAAATATAAATTGATGCGACAGAATAACGAATATCGGAGACTCCCGATTTGTCATCCATACAATTTACAATGAAAACATTCCATGTATATTTATATATTCTATATATTTTTAGTAATCTTTTAAAAAATATTATTTTTTATATAATTTTCAATGTCAGCTTTTTAGACTAGTTTCTCAAATTTCAATTTTTATTCGCTTTTAAAGATTTATTGAAACGTTTGATCAAATATTATCAAAATTGTAATATAATCCGATTGGAAATAGTCTTTGATAAATATATTTGTGGAGGTAAAATTTTGTTTTGTACATTTACCTAAAAATTGGGATCCAAAAGCGAAATAGCATGTTAGTGTTTTGGTATTTTTCCTCTATTATAATTAAAATAAAACAAAGAAAAAAGATGCGAAATTTTTCTCGTAAAACGATTGAAGTTTCTGCTTTTTTAATTCTAATTGTGATACTTTTCAGCATAAAAAAAAAAAAATAAATAAAAGGCATAAAAAAAGAACAGTTCTATATATTATACCGTAGAATATATAGAAGACTGTGAGCTTAACAAAGAACATGATTAACCCGGTTATACTCTTCTCAATGAGCGACTCGGATATCGCGAGTTCTGTGAGAGTCGGTGTAGTCTGAGATCGATAGCCATCTACCGTGCGCCGGTTGTAACCTCACGGAGGTTCGCCGTCGTTCGCGATGATCAGCTGAGCGCCCTCCTTATGAGCGACCCTACGAGAGATTTAACTGCGAAATATTTCTTTCGTCCTTCTCGAAATACACGAATTACATATCGAGTTTATGCACACGAGTTATATTTCACCGTAGAACGCCATTCAAATGGGACGATTAAAAGATACGGTCATGTGTTGCGCCAAGTTATGCGCAGTAAATAGCGAGATGGATCGTGCATCTATATACGAGCCGTTTAATTGAGAATATCTTGGATTATTCGATATCAATAATTCGCGTGGAATGATCGGGTTCTTAACAGCCTTAATTTTAACTTACCGTTAGAAAGTACGCGGTTACACGCCAAAAGAACGCAGAAGAAATACCGCGTCTGAATCCTGGGAGCTGCCGTCTCTTACTGACTAGTCATCTCGACAACGCGATGCGATATGCGCGATGCGGCCTTTAGCACGCGTGCGCAGTAACTCCCAACATTAAACGTCGGGTCGAAATGTTGGCGAGAATGATGCAATTTGTAATTATGATTTTTATATATTATATGAATTATAAAATATAATTTGTGTGTGAAGAGAAGGCCTTTTTTTTATATAAATATATAAAGTATTCTCGCAATATTATAATGAATTCTCTGATGAATTTTAAATTCAATTTTGTCCAAGCAAAGATTCACAAGGATCATTAATTACCAATTAGAAAAATTTTCAATTTTTAATATTACCTTTGTTTAGCTAAAAGACTCAAATTAAAATTCTATTAAGTTGAAATAATCTTAATGAAGACACTTTGTACATGTATTATAATAACACATATTATACATAAATCTAATGTGATATAAATTGCACATTTCTATAGATATTATAGGAATTTTTTATATGCTTTTATAAGAATTATATTCACATTAATTAAACATGTGTTTTAATATTACAAAGAAACAACAATCTTTGATTTATCCATGATCTTTTTTCAGTACGTTAGTACCGTGGAAGGTATTCAGACACGAATTGAATCAAGTACATCCCATCAGTTCGGGACTGCAAGCGATGGCACTGAAATCCACGATAGATTTGACGTGCAACGATTACATCTCCAACTTTGAATTTGACGTATTTACAAGGTAAATATAATTATTTTACACACACAGTTTATTTAGTCAGGACAGTCTGCACATTCTTATACGTTGTGACTTTCAAGGTTGTTTCAACCGTGGTCGACCCTCCTACGCAACTGGAAGATTCTGGCTGTGACGCACCCTGGCTATGTGGCTTTCCTTACGTACGACGAAGTGAAGGCACGTTTGCAGAAATATTGTATTACCAAGCCCGGGAGTTATGTATTTCGATTAAGTTGCACGAGGCTGGGACAATGGGCAATCGGTTACGTCACGTCTGACGGTGATATTCTTCAAACCATACCGCACAATAAGAGCCTGTGCCAGGCGTTGTTGGACGGCTATCGGGAAGGCTTGTAAGTATATCTTATGCCATTCAGAATCAGTCTGTTTGCTCAATTCTCGGGTAAACGCGCCCGTGAAGATTTCACATCAAATATATATTTCAAAGATTCGATTTCCAGCTACCTATACCCGGACGGCCGAAATATAAATCCGGACTTGACATGGGCGGTGCAACCAACGCCGGAGGAGCACATAAAAGTGACGGCGGAACAGTACGAATTGTACTGCGAGATGGGTAGCACATTCCAGTTGTGTAAGATCTGCGCTGAGCACGATAAGGACGTCAGGATAGAACCGTGCGGGCATCTTCTCTGCACTCCATGCCTTACAGCTTGGCAGGTAGCAGTATATAATCTCATCGTGTCATCGTTTGGTAGACTTATCGATCGACGATCGTACATAATGAATGTTGCTGTAATAATTTGATTTCATTAACAGATTAGTTTTTGTTTTTTTTTTCATTTTTACCTATGATTGTTTTAAATTTTACAGCGGGTTTATGTTACCGCTTAATTTTTTTTCAACTTATACAGCATAGCATAAAATCAAATCCGGAAATAAAATCTTTCGCTTGTCAATTGATTATTCTGCTATTGAGTTACTCCTAATTTTCTCATGCGAGAATATGTAATAAAGAGAATTCTACAAAGAGAGAGAGAGAGAGAGAGGAGGGAAGGAGAGAGAGAGAGAGAGAGAGAGAGAGAGAGAGAGAGATATGGATAGATATACATTAAGTTAATGAACGTTTGATTGGCTGCTTGCAGGATTCTGAGGGACAGGGTTGTCCGTTTTGCCGAGCTGAGATTAAAGGCACCGAGCAAATCGTCGTAGATCCGTTCGACCCGCGAAGAACGCATCGACCTGGAGCGCACTCGGCGTCTGCCAGTAATGCATCGACTCCCACGCGGGATCTCGACCCCGACACCGAGGTATCCGACTAGGAATAGCATCTACCTTCATTATTAAATGTGTTCTATGTATAACATCGCTCTCATTCTCGAGAATGCCTCATACATTTCACACGAGAACTCGCGATCGTATACACGTGTCATTTCGTAGAATTTATCATCATGACTGTACATCGTATCTCGTGGCAGGTACGCAGTAGTTTCAGGCATCTATATGATATCGGAAAAGTTACTTACGTTGATCTATTCCGGGACCAAAAGGGACCAAATTGCGCAGGAACGTGTCTACAGTATAGTTCTTTAGAGTTTGTTGTCCTTTTTTTTTTTTTTTTTTTACGTGTTCGCAATATATAGATACGGAGCGATTGCTCGATCGATCAGCCTTATCTGTCGCGCATTTTCGCAACTAACACTCGTTTTCAGATCGTTTTTTACGCCGCATAATTTACAAATTTCATCGATTACGCGGGGCCTCGCGCTCAGGTAAGACACGCTTTTTTCATACCTCATTGGAAGCTACGAGGCGACTTTATTGTACGCTGGCCCATTACCGCTGTACATCATTACGACTACTACGCATACGCAGCCATAGCTTCCGAGCAATTATATACGATAATCTGATAATAGAGATATTTGATAAGGCATTATCGCATCGAGAGTTTAGACCGTGCTTGTATAACGTGTTAATGTACCAGCGGAGAAATGTATTAGGCATAATATATATGGGTTCTCATCCAGCCACACAAAGCGGGTTCATTACATTCACTTACTGACGCCGCAAAAATCTTTTTTGGCTCACGAGATTCATAATGCATGTGCATATGCGTTTAAAAACGCTCTTTTTTTAAGTATGTGCATACGAAAGAATGTTGGTGTCTGAGAATATTTGTATATATTATTTGTGCATACGATTGTATGTGATTCATAGACAATGATATGGAATAGCCGCGTGACTTGTATTTAAATTAATATATATGAAGCACAGAGAGAAACAGGATGGAGAATCCTACGATTACGAGACAAAATTTTAATGTCGCATCATTGAAATTGTGCATTTGTAATTTTCACGTGCCCGATACAGTACGACAGATAAACACGATTTGAGATTATTTTCCATAAATTAATGAACGATTAAATGATACGAAATTATCTCCTGCAACCTATATAAATTTAATTATTATTTAACAGCAACTGTGTGCGCGTAATTTATGATATTATCGTCAACTGGTGACGATAAATTGCATTTTGAATTGCATATTGAATCGTTCACATTATTTCTCTCATGATTGTGCAATGATTGAGATCTATTTGAATATTCGCTATCACACTTACATTTCTCCAAGTACTGTGATAACGAATGATTGTTTTATAGAGTGACGTTTATTAAAAAGAAAAGGGAAAAAAGATACATATAAACGTTCCGTATTATTAAGATTCTAAATATAGCTTTTAAGCGTTCACAATAAGAAAGAGGAATATATGCGACGAGATCAAGTAAAGTAACATGAACGGCGAACTCGAGAAAGGAGCTCGTTCACCATAATTATGTACTATCGCGTTCGAATGTATTGTGTACCTGCTGGCGGTAGGCACGAATGTAACGTCACGTTAACGTCATCATCAATACACGTCGTTTCCAGCGTTAATTATTTTCTTACATTAAAATATTAATTTATTATTTATTCCGTATATATACTCTCTTGTACCGAAAAAAAAAGATAAAGTTCAGAGGGTTTTCTGTGCTGTCGCGACCGATGCTGCGGTTTATTATACGTACGTTTTATAACGCGAGACACTATTTAAAGGCATCTTTTTGTACGCGTTGTATAATGCATGCAATTAAAAAGATCCAAGTATGCAATCTCGATAAAAACTCTTAGCACGATTCGATATCGGTGGATTGTCAATTTAATCCTCTGTAAAGTTTATGGAGGATTCACTTACTTTACGGATCGTTACTCAATTCAATTCAGCGTAACTCGCGCGTTCGTAGTTTAATTAGCGATTTGATGAAGAAGCGCTCTCACTGATTGCGTAGCTCCGGACCAATTTTTCGTATAAACGTAATTCTAGCGTCTACGACCGTCGAGAGTATCTATTATTCATTGTAAAATACTAGGGACTTGAGAATCATTTTTTTTACAATAAAAATGGTATTATCATTATTACACGTTCGAGTTACTTTTGTGCACATTGTGTGTATCTGCATACGCACGATATCCCTCTCGCTGGATTCTCCGCACGTTGCTCCTGCAGAGTAACTCGGGGAACTCTCTCAAAACGAGAATTTTTTTTTTTTTTATTGTTATAATCGTTCGCATGATCGTTTTAGTTTTATTTCATAATGTTATCTCTCTCCGCACACACTGGGGTCACATTGCTCTCTACCTGCTGCATGATCCAAAAACTAATCGGTAATATAAATGTCCTGTCCGGGAAGAGGGAGTAGCACGCGCACCGCACATGCAAGTCGCAGGTAAGTGGCAACAATATGCATTATGACCGTTGGATTTTTACGCTTTTACGCTTTGTAATTACGCTCATTATTTACTTTAAACATTAATATGGCAACATTAATAATTTTGCATTCAATTCACGACGAATGAGAGAAGATCAACCGGCACACACTTTGACACTTTTCACTTTATTCATAAAGTACGACGCAATGAAATTTTTTTCTCTCTTCGCAGAGATTTTTCTATCTCGGATGACGATGATACGCCGTACAAACGATACCTCTTATCATTAAAATATGAAATAATTTCTCTATCATGTCACAATTTTAAAAAACTTGCGATTAAATTCTCTCGGTCTAATAGATCCCATATTTAATAAATATAAATATTTTACTTCAATCGTAATCTGCATAAAATTAATAAGGCGTAACGGACAATTCATGATGTCTTTATTCAACTGCAAAAAGTCGCTTCGTAGAGAATATTCGTCTCTTCTTTGTTGGAAAGATAAAATAAAGATAGCTATCACTTTTTTTGTGAAATTGGTGTGATCACGATCATTACGCTTGTCCTTTAATAATTTTCCATATTATGAATATTTAGAATAAAATATGTTTAATATAACATCGCTAGAAAAGCTTCATATATACTGTAAAATAAATGCTCTGAAAAGTAGAGATAACATTATTGCAATAAAAAAAAAAAAGATTTTAAAAGCATTCGGTGCTTACGGAAATAATTTATAAACGCGAAATTATATCTTTATTATTGATTATACTTATGAATTCTATTTTAATATCTATTTTTTTCTCCGACATGAAATCAATCCCATGCGCAATTTTATTCCGTCTTATGACATACAGAATAAACTGCGTAATTTTCTGATTATTTTGTGTCGATCGTGGAAAGATCTAAATTTCGAACAATATTAATTGGTTTGCATAAAAAAGGAATCTGCAAAATTATTATACATATAGCAATTATCTCAACTTTCATTATTATTTATCATCTGTATAATAAATCTGTATAATAAATTTAGATCGTTCCATTTACGATAAAAGTACAAAATTAGGGTCGTCGATTTACATGATTCAGCCTTTGTATAACAAAATGTAAGTATTTTCTCGTTGCACGACGGAATTCAGTGTTAACCCATTCTTTTCCCATCGTCGATGTTTTAGGACATAATGGAGTTGTGTAATGGCAACTGTGGTCTCATCGTATGCGACGACTCAGACGAGGAGGACGATTCCAGTCCTACGAATTCGCCGGTGCCGCCGCGGAGAATCGTCCCGAGCCCGCCGTTACCACCTAGAAGACCTTCGCCGTCGCCCACACCGAACAATCATCTCAGAAACGGCCGTCACCTGACAGTGCCAAAGGAAAATGCCCCGCCACCGCCGTCGACGGTTACAGTGATATTAAATTACACCGACAATACACAACAAAATAACAAAGGTATAGAAGAACAGTCTCTAGAAATGTTTTCAACTTGTGCGTATCGTATAGAAGCAATGAATTATTCATACGAGAAACAATGTAATTACCTATAAAAAATTTACAAATAGATCCATGATACTTTTATCGATGCTGCGATGAGTCAATGTTTTGATTCTGAAGCATTTTTGTTACGAGCGTAAAAAAAGCCCTATTAAAAATGTGATAGCTTCAATTTATAATTATACAATTCAACAATTAATGTTATATGTGTTATATATTATATAAACACATAATATGTAATAAATCGTAATGACTTTACATATGCAAGGATAAGCGTTTGTCCCGATATCCAGGTTCTAAAATTTTCACATTGCTTACAGTTAACACGGAGGCGAGGTACGACATGTTGCATCGCGCTTCTTCGCCGTCCCCGGTGCCGCCGATCCCGCCGATGCCGCCGTCGACGGCGGTGGCGAGAACCCATGGCACGCGTCGTCCTCACGGAAATCATGTGAGTGGCACGCCGCAGCGACAACCGCAGCCGCCGCCGACGTTGCCGGAGAAGGCATGTCGCATCAGCGCGACCAGTTCGACGACGACGACTATGACGACCAGTCAAGGGCCCAGTAATAACCCGGTGCCGCCAGTACCGCCGCCCTTATCGGCGCCCCGACCGCCGAAGACCAGTGGCAAGGAAGCGGTTGGCATTCGCCCGGATCACCATTACGAAAACACATTCGTCATCTGCGGTCCGAGCCATCAGGTGGTGAAGAACCTGACGGCGAGCAGAGCTGCCGGTCTGAGGGCACTGATGATGGCGAGGGACGATCCGGGAGGCGGTGGCCCGGGTGGTTGTGGCCCGATGATCAAGTCCTCGGAATCGGCGGCATACGAGAACGTCAATGTCGAGCATATCACGAGACTGACGGCACTCGGTTTCGCGCAGGACGCCGTGATCAGGGCGCTAGGTATCACCAGGAACGACCTCGAGATGGCATGCGATATATTGCACGAGTTCGCCACAAAGTCTTCCTGACCAGGTATAGATAATTATATCGAATTTGCTGAAAAATATGAAGTGCTAAGAGTGGCATACATTTAAGGATACACTTACACGATTAAAGTTACCTAAAAAGTTGAATTTGTATTTACACATATAATTAATCTAATCGCAGGGTCGGACACCGAGGTCTCATGACCGGCCTTACCCGCTAGACGATACTTTTGACAGGGAGCACCCGCAGGCTCGTACAAGTCCCACCTCTGATGCGTTCGCGGATACATCATCGGGCGTTCTCGCTACGTCGGCGAGGACTCGACGGTGCGCCGCCGTTTTATACTTTAAAACGAATGAGAGAAACACACACAGAGCACGGTGAGCGTTGAGAAGATTACCGCGAGAAACATCCGCCGAATCAATTTTCGTCGTGGATTTTTCACGAAACGGACGAAGCTCCAAATGTCTTCGAGATGCGAAGATCATCGTTCGCGTGACAGATGTAAATATAGGCGACGACCGACCAAAAGCGATTTCCGGCTGCCGAAGTATTCCTTCACGATAGCCATATTTAGCGAGCAGTAGTAGTAGAATGTCCTTACATATTTTCCTAATCTAGTACCTCTCACTGGCGTAGTCACTATTATATTTCGTTCCTCGATATACTTAAGAATAAAGATTAATTGTACATTAATTCGCAAAGAGAACTTGCTTCTAACATAACGTACATCGGGAAGCGCTCCTCGAAAAGGTCCTCTCGGTCGTCCGTTTTCCACATTTTGTATTATATAGCGTATCTCACGAAAAGAAAAACAACGAACACGCGGTCCGATGTCGCATCGTTCCGATGTGTTTAGAAATTACACCACTTACGAAGGCAATACAATCCGTTTCACCTATCCGTTTAAGATACATATGTTCTACATAGAGCATCGATTCGCTAGACACTCCTTGCTCACGACTATATACATGTATGACGATAGTTCCGACCGAAAATACGTTTAGAAAAATGCCTGGTATCTAATTTTGTAATCCCTATGCATATATACCGTTCTCATCCAATTCTAGAGTAGTTATTATATATATGTATGTATATCGCTATTTGATGTACATTATGTAATATCCTCCACATTAGCGATGCGTAGTTAAATACAACATACAAGAAGAGATACCTCGGAGAAGATAAAAGTGAGTAACAAAATAACGATTCAGATATATAAAATTGTTGATTTACATACTCTGATTTGATTCTAATTTCTCAGAGAGATTATAGCCGAGATTATCTTCGAGACACGATAGCCTAGTTAGGGCACGCACTTTCGTAAGATTTGGCACCTTCTAGATCTGAGTCCGCGCGACGTTTTTCGTTTTTCAGCTCGCACGTGACGACTTACGCGCACCTATAGAAATCAGCCTATTTTTTACCGAATGTGATACTTATGTTCACACATAAATACACGGCTTTACATCGCACTAAGTATTGACGTAGAGGAGAAGATGAAATCGTCGCGCGTTCTACGCACGAAAAGCGACACGTCGAATATCAAAAGTCTACAGCTTTACGATGACTTTCGGTGCAATGTGTGCGAATCAATGTTCCAACGAGCGTGTATGCATAGTACGAACTTTACAGACGAGGTGTTTATCATAGTACATGATTGTAACGATAGAATACAATCGAAAATGAGGATAGCACGTCGTGCAAAGTAACGACAGATAATAATCATCCAACTAATAATGAGAGAGAGAGAGAGAGAGAGACGCACTTGGTCGAATGATGAATAAAAGTTCATTATATGTTCGTTATGCCGAGTCGAAAGTAGCATACATATATCGGACACATACATACATACATACACCGAAACGTATCAACGCGCTTTACATTAATTTATGTCTTTTGCAGTAGATGCTCAATCATAATGCACCGAACCGTTTTGCCCTACGAAAGGACAGGCAGATCTGGAAGTTGATTACTACCTCGCCATTACCAAAGGTATACACGATCTGTATCGTCCGAACGGTGTGTTTAACTCGCTTTAATGCATTTTAAACACATACACATACATACACAAATGGGACGAATCATCGTGTGTAACGTAATTAATATATTTAGATATAATATTTAGATTTCTCGCTTCCGTTGAATTTCTTTCTTTCCGCGAAAGAAGGGAAGATACGCGTTGACGGAACGCCGTACTGTTAAAACGGATCACAGCTTATCCTATGCAAATTCGAGCAAAGACCATATAATGTTTCAAGAGAATCCGAAATAGATATAGATATAGAGATACCGAGACATCCCGATTTTATTCGCTGTCCTATTATGCACCAAACGCGTCAACCGCCACTCCTGAAAGAATATTTCAGCACCCTTCACCCGCGAACTTGACGGGTCCGCGAATTTAGCTGTCCTATTTTTCTACATTGTATATTCTGGTCGCTGTGTATTATATAATGGTCAAGAACATTCACCTTAGAAAGATACCTCGGTGTTCCGAGAATGGACAGAAGGATGATGTATAGTTGAGTGCAATATACACAGAGTAATATAAATCGACCATATGATAATTGAAAATGATAAAGATTGACTCCTCCTTCATTTTAATTATTCGCTGTACAAATTATTTTACATACTTCTCGAAATAAAATAACATGTCGTTTATAATATTGCGCACGTTATTTTATTGCACTTAGATTGTATCTCTATTCATGACGGATAAAACACTTCAGATATATGTAAACGTGATACATCGATTAATTGTATTTAACTAGAATTATAAACTTTGGCACGAGATAAGGGATCAAAACAGTAAAAAGTCTATCATTACAGACGATTAATTCGGATTATGATATTCGTCATAATCGAACAGACAGCTCAAGATCCTTAATAGAAATATATTTTATCTTACCTTAAGAGACAAGATTTTTCCCGGAATTACGATGATGATAGCTCTGTCCGCATTCTGTTGTACCTCTCTATCTCTTCGTCGCTAACAGAGGGTACCAGATCACGAATAGCGTCCGAAAAATGTCGCAGTTCTACGATAATACTATCCTTAATCGTATCTTCTTCTTCCTTGTTGAGTTTTTTGCTTTCCTGATGCCTTGCGACAACTTCGCGTACAGCGTTGAGCCATGCATTGGAAGAAACGGAATACAAGTCCGCACCGGTGACATTATCGGGCAATCGGTCTACGACCCGTTCTAGCTCTCGTCCGTTCTCCCGTAATTCGAATTTCCGCGTCTGCGCTTGCAAAACACTGAGCTTGGACGCGCAGTCGGAGTGAATGCCGACGTAGAGCATCTTATCGAATCTCCCGGGTCGAAGCAGCGCAGGATCTATGAGATCGGGCCTGTTCGTGGCCCCTATGATGAATATGCCGCCGGATTCGTCAAGGCCATCCATCTCGGCGAGTAATTGAGAGACCACGCGGTCCATTACACCGCCGCTGTCGCCGCTTCTGCCACGATTAGGTGCCAATGAGTCCAGCTCGTCGAAAAAGACGATACAGGGGGCCGCGGAACGCGCACGCTCGAAAACTGCGAAAAAATAAGAATAGCTTTGCGTTACTTTGCACTTAAAGAGCAAATAATTCTTTGTTACACATTTATTACAAAATCGCCTTCTTCTTCTAGATGACATACTTTGTCTTACGTTCTTCTCGCTCTGACCGACGTACATGTTCAACACTTCCGGACCTTTGATGGACAAAAAATGCAATTGGTATTCCGTTGCTACCGCCTTGGCGAGAAGAGTCTTCCCGGTACCAGGTGGACCGTATAATAATAATCCGGACTGTCCAAATCCGAAGGCGTTCAATAATGGCAATTGAATTCTACGAATAATTTCGTGTTTCAATTCTGCCAAACCGCCTATATCATCCCAGCGAACTTCCGGCACGCGTGGAGCGTCTTTATTATCGGAATACATGGACTGCATATATTCTGAAAATATATTTATATAGTTATATAGTATTATCTATATTTATACATAGTTATATAGTATTGTACTGCAATACAAAAAACGTGAGATTATGTTTTCTATCTGCCAATCTTAATATGACCAATATATGATTATATGGTTGCGCGAATAAATTATTATGCAACGAAAAATATATTTAAAAATTTAACACTCGATCTAGAAGATAAATCAAACATATTGTATAATTTGAGAAAATTTCATACATTCAAATTTTATTACAGAACATCTTTCACGTTTTTGTGATGCTTCTTAACATTTGCACTTAAAACGTAAATCTTGCTAAATTAATTATAAAACAATTATACCGTAAGCTCGATCGAAATCTGTTTGCGTCAAGGTTTTAGAATCGGGCAGCATCCCTGATTTGCATCGAAATTTAGCCGCATGCAACATCAATGCCACCAAATCCGTGAATCTGAAATCTGAACAAAGACCAGAGACTTTCGATAGATCTGCGGTGGTCGTTAGATTCCTATCGGATAGCAACCAAGACATCAGTTCCATCCGTTTATTTTGATTCAAGTGTTTAACATGAATCGTCTCGATAAATATTCGTTGCAGTTCCGCGGGTAGATCGGTTTCGTCCGAGGCAGCTACGATGATCAGAGGAAATTTTCGATGTCTATCAGCATATAATGTGGCGATCTCCGTTGAAAAAGCGGATATAATCCTCTCGTCCTTTTGGCCTTCAGCGGTCTTGCCGAATATCTACGAAAGCGGCAATTAAACTATGATCATGGGAAGCGCGAAATAATTTTATGCAACTCTCATCTCCTACGTACTTGAATATTATTTAGATACAATATGCACGGTACGCATTGCTGCGCATTATGTAGCGTTATGCGAAGTTTAGCCTCAGTTTGCGCCGCTGTTAGAGTTTGCACCTCCGCGAAGTCAACGCCGAGAAAGTTCAATCCCATTCCCGCAGACGCGAACTGAACCAATTCGCGTTTACCGCAGCCTCGCGGTCCTTTCACGAGAAATACCGGCCTTACATGCAATTGTACATCTGAAACGATCGATACAAGAGAATAAAAAATACATTGCCAAAGCGATTACGGTATATGTATATTCAAACACTATCGATCCTCTAAATATGCTCTAATTATTCCTTACTTTTCTTCAAGAACGGCGTGACGCAGGATACTAAATGTTCCAAAGGTTCCATCAAAGCTGATGGATATCTGCCTTCGAGAAATATAGAAACATGTCTCCGCGGAATATAATCGTGCACTCGCGCCTCCTGGATGAGCGTCGACTCTCCACGCACGACGTAACAGTCGTTAACGTTATCGTTGCGTCCATGGTGATTTACTTTCATGGAATTAACCGTAAAATACATCGCGCAAATCGCCGGTGATGCGGACGAATAAAATCGATTTTGAGCATATTCCTTCGCATCGATCCTAAATACATCATTTACACGTAAATATCGGGGATGTAAAAAATAATTCTCCAGCATGACATCCACCATTTCGGTAGCGCAATCGTACGGATTGGTGATTAAGGATATTCTCGCCTCGCTCGCAAATTCGACTACGTCATCTTCCAATGGCACTAAAAACAGATTTTTAATTATTAGCAATATTCGATAATATTCAATAATCAGTTACAATGTAAATTTAAAAATCGTGAGGAAAAATTATACGGTTTTATATTTTAAAACATGTAGATTGAAAATACATCTGATAAAAACTGTAAATACTTACGTATAAAACACGATTCGTCCAATTGTTCAGAGTGAAGAGCGTTCTGCAAATTGTGCAGCATCGTTTCAGAGATTAAGATAGTATTTTCATTAGTATCAGTTACGGATACGATCATCAATTTATATTTTGTCAATGAAGTCATCGAACATATGTGAAACCAGGAACTCGGCGATTCCTTTAAAAATCGTGCATTCGCTAATGCACAGGAATCAAAATCGATGTATTTACTTTGCGTATCTTCCAGATCATTTAGCATACGTTTAATAGCTACATCTGGTAACGTAATCCAATGAAGATTTTGTCTAAACATCCTTTGCAATCTACGGTACAGATATTCCAAAAAAGCGTAACTCAGTACGTAACGCGGATTTTGTCGTATGAAGGTGCTTATTCCTCTTATGATCTTTTTATAAAGCAATAGTGTAGAGAGCATCCTTCGATATAAATTGTATTATACAAATTATAACGAATCCTTTATATTGATTTTACACAATGAATCTTCATCATGTTGATAAAATACATCAGACCTGAGATTAAAGAAAAAAGAAATTGAAAATTATTGCAATTTGAATAAATATTGTTTTTTTTTTTTTAAATAATTATAATGATTTTTACGTAATATCGAGGTTTTGCCTTGATATCAGATTAAAGTGCAAAACAGCATTTTATCATATTCCCGAAATTAGATGTACGCTAGACGTATAAAATTTCTCGATAAAGATTTTTGTCATTCCTCTTCTGAATTTTTTGAATTTTAAAATCGCGTTGAATGTCTTAAATAAATATTGGCTAGTTTTTGTATTGGAAAAAGTGCAATTATTGAAATAAATTCGATTCTAGTATAACTTTTGAGGTTCCGATTCAAACTATCGAATTGAGAAATTACTTTACTTTAATCTGATTTATTTTCTCGTGCGAACAACACTTTTGATTTTCTTGCTCAGAACTTATTCTTTCATTTTTCATCAATAAAAGATGCGCGTAGTAAATTCAATTTTAAAGCTCTTTATACACTTTATCAATCTTTTTTTCGCGCTAAAGTTTTGCGCAGTATCCTCTGCAATTCACGCTATTATTGACGCAGAATTTCAAATAATAAGTTCAAATATTTCGCTTAAGAAATTTATCTCAAATATGCAAACGTAGCGTTGTACGGTCTCTTCAAAGATTTGTACTTTCTCTTTTCATTTTATTGGATAATAAAATAATTTAAAATGACAATTCTTTTTTTCAAAAAACACACATATATTTGCCATTCGTTTCGCGATTTTCCGAATCATCATCTTAAAGGTTACTTTTAATCGTAGTCGCACGCGCTACCGTTAGTTATAACGCGATAAGAGAGAAAGAGAAAGAGAGAGAGAGAGAGAAAGAGAGAGAAGTTTGAAAGTAGAACTCGAGAAAGCTCTCTGACAATTCTCGAGTCGATCTTTCGATTTATCACAGATGCGTATCATACGCGCTTTTATAAAGCAACGGATAGAGACAGAGATATTTTAGTTTTTGGTGCATTTAAAATGCGAAAACGCGCCATCGCTTTTGTTTGCCATCCGGTTGAGCGTCACTGAACAATGTACCCAATTTTGTATTACAATCTCTTCGGCCGATGTTACTGTAGGAACAGTAGCGGCGTGTGGGAGATCCCGTCCTCGAGGGAGATCACGCGAGCGGGCCCCTTCGGGTACAACAGCTGTTCTTATCGGTAAATTTCGAGCGGTTGAAAATCTCGCGTTCGCCACCGTAGAGGAGCGTGAACGTCGCGATGGCGTTGTCGGTTCGCGGCTAACCATGCGACTGATCACCACGAATGATTTCGCGCTGATTTGACACGTAATCGATCGCGAGGGGCTCGATCGAGATTCCGCCACTTGCCGGCGTGTCGCGGGGCGACACGACGACGCGACGCGATATTCCGGAATAACACCGGGGGTACCTACCGTTGTACAGTACGTACGTGTACATATGTAGTGGAGAGGAGACAGTTAAAACCGTTGGTGGCGGCCGTTAATCCGCGAGACTAACCCTAACCTAATCCGTGCGCCCCGATAGCGTCCTTGTTGCAGTTTTTCGGGACGGAATCCGTTCCGAATTTAAAGATCCGGCTACGAATACACGCGCGGGGGAGTGTTGCATTATTATGCGAAGCTGCGGTAAGCGAGGGTGTTGACGCGCCCAACGCGCGATGGGAGTCTGAGTTCGTTCTCGGCCAAGTGTGTCGGGTTACTTATCTTGCGAATTCGAAGAAATTGATGTCGCGACTGCGATCCGGTAATCCCGACGGGGAATACATGTGTAAAATCGCCGCCGCGTTCTCTCGCTCGTATCATGTACGTCGCGATGCTCTAATTGACAGTCGTAGAGTAAAGGATGTTTACATTTTTATACGTCTACAATCGTATGATCAATTGGGATGCCGCTGAATATTCTTTGCTACTGTTTGCGTTAATTGTCGAACTTTTTGTTGTTTTGTCAGTGTATAAGGAAGTCTCTGAGCGATAAACGATAGAGTCAATGATGGATCCCGCGACGGTGATATCTCGTTGCAAAGAGAATATCCAGCCGTTAAGATACGGGCGGAATGCCACGCAATTGGGAACCGCATTGAGAGCGCAGGAGGACACGGATGCGCAGCAGTTGTTACTACAGGAAAAGCAGTAAGTGTCCTGAAAAAGTTAAATTTAATGACAATTTTATATCATTATTTTTCCCTTTCATAGAAATTTATATGATATTGTAGAAGAAGAAATACGTGAATTTCGTCGAATTATTAAGAGCGATTTATATTTTTATTTAGAATGTACGAGGATGCAATTAAGAATTACGAAGGAGATGATCCTTTGGAAAATTGGTACGATTATATTCTCTGGGTGGAGCAGAGTTATCCAAAAAGTGGGCACGAATCCCATATTGGAAGACTGTTGCAGCAATGTCTAGCGATATTTGAGAAAGAGACCAAGTATCATCAAGATCGTAGATATATACGTTTGTGGATTAATTATGTGAGTAATTACCTTATACATAAGTGTAATTGTACAAGTATGTATATTGATGCTAGCTTTGTGCTTTTAGATAAGTATGCAGAAAAATCCATTAGAATTATACCAGTTGCTGCATCGCAACGGTATCGGGACTAGAGTGGCGGACATGTACAGGGCCTGGGCTTTTGAATTGGAACAGATCGAAGATGATAAACGAGCGGATGAAGTTTACTTAATGGGATTATCCGTTCGTGCAGAACCATACGACGAATTGAGTCATGCTCATCAGTATGGATTATTTCTTTTTGCATAACAAATTATCCTATGGATATAATGGATAATAAAACTTTACACTCTTTTCATAGAAATTTCCAATTTGCTGTGGCGCGCAAAACACTCGGTCGTATTGAAGAAAGAAATGACGTTTTATTGTTCGAACAACGTCAGGCTTTCAGTTCGTTAAGAGCGATAAGGGCCGGTAAGAGAGTCGGCAGCATACGAACAGGTCATCGTGTACGCGATTATTATCCTGGCGTTGTGCCCCAAATTTCGGCTTCTAATACAAAGCCCAATTCTAAACTACAAATATATCAAGTGAGACATGTCTATCGATAATAGCTATAGTGCAATGTAACTTGTATGTGTTTTAAAAATAAGTTATGCAATAAAATATTATATAATAGGATGATACACTTGGAGAGATAAAGAGCTCTCCAAGCATACTGGATCATGTGCCTATAGAAGATTCTATTCATAAAGAGAATACTATCAAGCCTGGACCATGGAATAGTGGAAACAAGAGAGGACCATTAATAGCTCCTACTGTAAAAACAGGCTTTAAAAGTAAGGATGAAAATAAAATAGACTAAATTAGAGTAATACATTATTGCACAAATCAATCAAAATTTGGTTTTTTACGTTTCTAGTTCACGAAGATCAAAGTGATGATGCTGATATGGAGAAAATTAAATTATTCCCAAATCATGTAGCTTTTTGTGATGGTAGTAAATGTCATGACAGTTTAAGGGTGCCGGTGTATGTAGCAGATGCAATAGATCCAAATATTGTACAGAAACCACATTATCCCAAAGAGCTAGTTTACGCTGATAATGTCGATCGTAGTATGGAGGAAATTAGAGCACAACTTTATTTCGAAAGGTATTACTGCAAAAAAAAAAAAAATTGTATCTACACAGTTATAACACACACGAAATGCACCTTATGGCCTGCTTTGTGGAGGCTTTATTGATATTCGTGTTGCTTGCACATAATCAACGTTATTAAGGACCACTGTTGCAAGGAGAGTTTGACCCTTCACAAATGTTTCGGAAACTTACGAGGTATGTAAAGACTTATATGACAGAAGGATTTTTTGGGAATGTATCTTGTTATCTCTCACAACATTATATGAGTTTGCTACATAATACTTGTATAATACAATTCAACGCAAAATTTTACAAAAAAAATTGAGTCTGTAAAAATGGATAGTACAATATGGGTATGATGTGATGTGGTATTCAAATCGTTCAATTTGCAAGATAGCATGCAAAAGTACATGTGTACCAAGAAAATATATCTGATTGTGAGTACCTTGTATAGATAATTAAAATGTATATGTAATTCTTGTATATTTACAACAGACTTTGAATTTTCAAGCTAAAATGATTCTATTTCAATTAATATCGAGGTGGATTCGTTTCCAAATATTCTCTCCAGAATGTACGAAAATATATTGCATAAACAATGTTAATTGATTATCCTAGACGATTCTTCCCCCCTTCCTCCACTTTGTTCACTTTTAATTATGTAAAGCAGTGATAATTACAATGTATCATGTGTTGTCTAAAGCGATGCCAATTTTTTAATTTGAATATGTGCAGGCTTGTTTTCGAATGTCCACTAAACAGGCCTTTTATGTATTATACTTTTTATATAAGTTAGATTATATATATATAAATATATATGCGCGCGCATAAATATGACATGATCAATGAAATTTCCAATTTGTGTGTTCCAATCGTAGATTTTATAAAGATACATACACAAGGACTTTGGGTTGTCTAAATAGCGTAAATATGAATATAAATTATGTATTTACATATCGCTATATAGTACATGTTAAATCATATATATATAATCGACAACCTATCGTTCTTGCTTGTGGGAATTTATGAGAATATGCCTTATCTCTCTTACTTTAATGCAACTTGAAAACAACTTTCAGATAAGATCCCGTACAAAATTTTAAGATATAAAAAAAAAACAGTTGAGACATTGTAAAATACAATTATTAAAATCAATTACATCAAGATATGGATATCCTGATTTATCTTTGATAATTGCAAAAACTGTATGTTACAATATTATAATCTATATCTGTGACTATAAAATCACATACATTTATAACTTTATATATATATATATA